GTGGGCTCCCCAGAGGGTGCCAGATGTGCAGGCCCCGCTGACAGGGAGCGTTCCTGACCAGGAGCCTGGGGTCCTGGGGAAGTGCTCCTGTTGTCTTAGCTCTCAGAATTTGTGGAGTATTCGGATTAGGGGGTACATTGCAGGCCTTATCCAATCCCCCCCCCCCACTGATATCAGTGGCCACATCAACACGTCTGCTGCAGAGTTGGGATTTGAAACTACAGTAAAAGTAACAGAAGGCGCTCTGGTGACCTAGTCCGTAGGGAATTGCGCTGCTAACCCAATGGTGGCATCTCTCTCTTCGAGAATCTACCTGCCACTCTGAATCCTCAAGACACGCGGCAGGGAAAAGATGAGCTATCTCCTTTTTTTTTTTTTTTTTTTTTTAGTTATATCCTGTTGACTAATTTTTAGCCTGTGACAAAACTGCAAACAGGTTCAGTTATGAATTGGTTCCGACTTATAAGGCTCTGAGTATGTTTGAGTTAAGGAATTAACAACAACTCTTTAAACCAAAACTAACTCGGGCTAGCCACTTGGAACTCATAGTCCCCGGAGGCCTGAGTAGAACTGAGTTCCAAGAAGAGGGTTTCTAAGGCTGTCTATCTTTGGGAAGCCAACTGGCATAGCCTTCTCCCGCACAGTGGTTGGTGGGTTCCACACTATTAACCTTTTGCTTGGTAGCCAAGTGGGGGCTCTTGAAAACAACGGTAACATTACACATGACAATAGCTCATATCCATCGAGTGCTTACCGCATTTTTAGAAGTTGATATGCACGATCTCACTTAATTTTCCGACCTTGAGCAGTGTGTAAATCCTTCCAGTTTCTAGAATGAAGTGTCTTGGGATTCCACCACCTGGAGGGATTTGAACCCAGATGTGCCCCAAATCCTGCGGAAGCTCCCTGCTCTTGAATGAAGGACCACTTAGAATAAGGCTAGAAATTGTGAATCGGAAAACAGTAGGCTCAAGTTAGCTGCTTTTTTGGGGGTCTACAGGGGTTCCGAGAGGCCCACAGCTCCCTCGCGGCTCGCCCTGGGCTCCCAGCAGAGCTGGGAAGGTCCTGCGCGCGCGCTCGGGGACCTGAGCCCGGGGATCTGCAGCCGGGGACCTGCGCCCGGGGACCTGCGCCCGGGAAAC